TGTCTCAATATGCACACCAGTCATCTCGCTAGTTTCTGCATGCTTTATCTCCTAACTTGTCAACATCTCCACAATGTACATATGAGGTTTTACTTGATCTGATAAAAGTTAAATAGTCCAATCCCCCCCCCCAACAGGCGTGAAACAAATTATGTTTATGTCTGAAAGTAACTCAGACAAAGGTTTAAATAAGCCTTTTATTTAAAAAGAACTTGGAACATAAAATCATGTTCTTATGCTAAGAAAATCAATTATAGTTTGTGGTGATGTAATTAAACACGAAGATTCAAATTCAAACTAAAAATGTGGACTAGTAGTCAAAGACTATACAATTTAATTTTAACTTAAGCTGGCTTAGTAACTCTATCATAATAACAAATTCGAATGTGGGCAGCGATAATGCAAAGACGAATATTTACAAATTATAGAGCTGGCAGGAACTAATGCAGCGAGCAAGCGGAGGTCAGAAACACACTTCTGTCTTGCACTCCAAAAACTTCAGCTTAAAAACTGCTTAGTGATTTGCATTCTGCTAAGGAAATAAAAATGGCAAGTAAAGGCTGAAATTGTAAAAAACTCGGTAATTATAAAATAACAACTGTACATATCTTTGAAGTATAATTTTCTTCCTCTTTGTGTATTCAGTTTCTTTTTTAAACATGTTTTCTTTTCACTTTAGAATTCTTGGATTTAATTAAAGATTTCTGACATTCTAAAAAAACAAAAGCATTTAGAATGTAAAGAAAAAGCTGATAAAGTGCTGGTTTCAGGGCCGATGAGGCATAATTTTTAGAATTTAGAGACACACCGAGCAACAAAATCTAGAAATGGCAAAACTTTAGTATCAGAAGTAAAACATTCAAATATTATGCTTTCATTGTTCTTCCAGATGTTCTCCAAAAAGTAAAAAATTCATCACAAATTTTCTGTAAAATACATCCATTACATGTTAATACTATGGAGACATTTTTCATTTTGTCATATTTTTCTGGAATCTTCTATACTTCGCGACAAGCTAACTTGAGAATACATACAAGGCTAGGACGACCTTTTCACCCTGTACTTCAAGTTATCCATAAGCAGTAAACTGCCCGCGGATATTCAATTCCTTCAATTCGCTACACATTTGGTGACTTCTTGCCAAATCCAACGTATTTAAATAACAATCTTTTCATGCAGTGAAGCTGCAATTGAAACTGATAGTTCATTGTAGTGTAAAATGTAGCGCATGTTATTCATTATCTTAATTTAAATGAAATTTTTCACTATTATATAAATGGGATGTGTACGAATTTGATAACATTTAAAACCTGAATCGTTTCTTCAAACTTGAAGCGGAAGAGCTAACAATATATTCCTTACAGTTCGGGTCAAACTTTTCCCCCCCAAGACCGTTCACTTAGTTAAAAGTAAAATACATAAATTTTGAAAATATTTTCTCTTTAATTTTTAGAGTTAACACAGCTTGTTGCTATCAAAACAGTGAACGAGGAAAAAGTTTTGGATTTTTGTTTTTTAAAGATGTTAATTTGATTTTAATTTTCCAATTGTTTAAAAAACTCTGACAGTATTTTATAGCAGACATTATAAAAATTATATTCTGTATTAATTATCTCCTAAGACACATACACTTTCAGTCAGGCCCAGATGATCATCCTCCTACAGTACATTTTATCCTATCTTTTTGATTACTGCTTAAAATAAAATATTAAATGAATAAAAAGACTGGAAACTTAGATCTTCAGATTGCAGTCTAACGACTAAAGAGTTTACCATTAAAAAATTTCAAGGTATTAAAAAAATATTAAAACTTAAAAAATGTGAAACAAACATAAAAATTAAGAAATAAATTATCTTATACCAATGAATTAATCATATACCAATTAATTCTACTAATCAGTTAAAATAAGAAATGTCTTGTACTAGTTACAACAAAGCACAAATGTTCATAAGAACTAAAAAAGTATAAAAGAAATTAAATTAAGAAGTGTGTTTATTGCTTTTAAGACATTTACCATATTAAATGTCTGTTTGCTTGTATTGTAAGAATAAATTAAGGTGTTAATGCTTTGACGAATAAAACGTCTTTTGCGCTACGGGGCGTGAAATGTACGTCTTTTGCTTCATGCAGGGAAATATATTGCTTTTACATCTCTCAATTTATAAAAAGCAGATTGATTCAGCTCTCTGAGAATCTGTGAATTATATCTTGTCATGTAGAACTGTATAAGTTAGGTGAAAATCATACATTACCTTCCAGGTATAAAAACAACAAGCATATCGTACGGAAAAATCTGGCTATTCCTTTCCTTAGATGGAATCATCTGCAAATCAAGCGTATTAATGATAGAGTTGCTTAAATAACACTGGTAGTACTGTAAGCTCTGAATTGCATAGGAGTCCCTCAGTGTATTATATAAAAGTAGTCCTTTATCTTTATAAAGTTCCCACGAAGCCATCTCTTCCTTTAAACAGAAAGCCTTGTTTCTTCTACCATGGTTAACTTAATTGATCAGTACTTCCATATTGGTTAGGTTAGGTGATTTGAATATAACAAAGCCCACAAGAGCTATCTGACTAAGGGGTGAGATGCATTCATGGAGGACATTCTAAAAGAAACAAGCTCATATTCCCGTTACACATGAGTAAAACACCAACACCGACCATGAATACAGCCCGTTTGCTTGGGTTCAAACAATGACAAACTATCACTATTCAGAGATTTAACCACTCGGGTACTGGTGGGTCACTTGCATATTATATTTTCTAAGGGATTTGTTAGCTTGTTATTATGATGTTATTTATAATTGTTTATAATTCTGCCTTTTTTTTAATTTTTGGCTTGAAAATGACCCTTGTATTTTTAATTTGTGGTCCTGAAAAGGGCCTTTTATTTAACTGAGGTATTCACTCGCGATAAGATCATAACAAGTAGCAATATCGTTATCATATTTATTAGGAAAATGCTCCCGTAGTTTTACAAAAAACATTCATTATGATAATCTTAGCGGAGCTGTGTTTTCAGGTTTATGAGGTTTTCCAGCTTTATGATGTTGAAAATTATACATATACATCGAAGATGAAGCAGATACCATGACAATTGCTTTTTCTCCTCCCGGTTAGTGAATGAATGTTTTAATTGCTTTTCTCGTCAAGAGCGGGGAAGGTCGGGGTTGCTGGAATTTGCAGTTTCACCAATAATGACCCCCCCCCAAAAAAAAGGATGTCTGCCTGCTGGTCATTGAATGATTGACACGATTTAGCAAATTTTTAAACAAAATGCTGGACGCAACATAATCTATCGTTTCACACATTTTTTCCTTCTGATCTCTTTGTTCAACAGTATTCGTATTTCACAGCGAGTAATTTTTACAATATTACTTCTCGAAATGGTAGAACTATATTCTATGGCGGACGCATATACTTTCTACTATATCCAGTGTTCTCAATTTAGGTTGACCTGTAGTATAGAATTGTGGGTCTGTAAATCTTGCCTTCAAATCTTTCTAAACTTTCCAAGCTGCAATGTATAAAATCCTACAAAAAAATTACCCCTACCAATTCTTCAATGGCAAAAAGCCTGAAATATTTTGGGGAAAAAAAATCAGAGGGGAAAAAGTTTAAAACTAATTTTATAATGTTTATTCTCAGAATTCTTAAAATACTGAAACAATTACATGGGAAAAACTCTTACCATGCAAAAATTACCATTAAAAACTGCCCTTTGAATGCACGACGTTTTTTGCAAATACGTGAAGAAATGGGAAGTAGTCGTACCCAGCTTCTTTTTCATACCGATGTTCGTTGGCTATCTCAAGGAAAAATTTTAAATCGATTGTCTAAACTTGGAAATGAACATCAATGTTTTCTTAATGATAGAGCTGAAAAATTGTTTACATGACTGGAAATGGCTTTGTAAACAAGTATACTTAGCAGAAATATATTCTCTCTTTTAAACTTCCTCAACTTATCGTTAAGAAGCAAAGACATTTCATTGTTTCACGTTCAAGACAAAGTGAATGCTGCCATCACAAAACTAAAATTGTGGCAAAAAAGAGTTGGTACTGGAGAAGTAAACTCGTTTCCCCTCTCTTCTTGAGTTTATAACAAGTTCGACTACTAGAATTGGTGCTGGTACTCTGAAATGCATAACACAGCATTTCGAGAGTTTGCAAGCGAGCTTGAAAAACTATTTCTCTGCTTTAAACAAAAATGAATGGGTAGGATATCTGTTTAGCATTAACACAACATCCATTCCATTAAGTTACTCCCACGCTGAGGGCATTAACTGTACCTTACTCTCAAAATAATTGCTTCTATGCATTTAATTACTGATTAGTATTTGATGTTATGATATATCAATAGTGCTTTTCATGGATTTATACAAAGGTGACTCAATGCACAATTCAATATGTAACCTAACCTACACGCAATGGAGTCACCCCAGTAGCGCACCAAGTCTCCAATACATGACATAAGTTTTATAAAATGTTTGCTCTTTTTGCTATAAATTACAGAAAGGTAACCATTTATTTAATTTCAAATAGAGATACATTCATAAAAAAAATTTACGTAATTACAGTTAAGTATAAATATCACCACCATGAATTTTCAGCAATAATATACTGATATTTTCTAAATTTATGGCATTTTTACAAATGTTAAAGCAAAAACAAACTCTGCAGATATTTAAATGCAAATAATGAAGCCTTTATTTGTTAGCATTGCTAATTAAGAAAAATTCAGAAAATAAATAAAGTTCCTATAAAATTAGGAAAATGTGCATATTTTTCCATACATGCTCTCATAAACATAACCCTGTGACATAAATTTCCCACCCTTTAGCTGAAGCCGATTAAATTAAAAGTTAATATCAACAACTTCAGTGTTACGGCTTTAAAAAATGCCATGTATTTTTACTTTCGAAAATTTAACTCTACTTCATGACTGCCCAAATTTGTGTCTTTTTTACATATGCACAGATATACACACACATAAGATATTCATTAATATCCTTTTATTTATTACAAACCTACAGCCAGTTCCTCAACACACTATTAAAATATATTTGCATTTTTCAGTGGTACTTTTTATGGACAGTTATGGTATTACTATTTTTAGTAAGTAGTAAAAAATAATAAAACAGATGAACATAGAAGATAATGACAGCCAATAAGAAAAGATATTGCTTAAGACTCTCACTACACAAATTCACTTCATAAAAAGTCACACAAAAATTCTTAATCATATTCGATGATCAGCCAATTCAAAATGAATTAACTTTGAATGCAAGATTTTCTCCCCCAAATGTTCATTATGAATCATTTAAAAAAATAGGTGCAAAATATTATCTCTGTGAATTAATACACAAAAAAGCTGGCAGAGGAATTGCATTTTATTCCTCTAATCTAACAGGAGAGAAACCACAGGTATGCTGATACATACGTGCAGATCACATAATGATCTTCTTCACTACTAATTATGACAACATGTCATTAAGAAATTTAGTTATTTAACAGAGGAATATACAGAACTCAAGATTTTTAAAATAAAGATAAGTAAACTGTGTGTGCAAAACACCAGTCTTCTGTAGACTTAAAAAGCACAACACCTGTAATTTCTTTAAATATGTATATAAAAGAAACTCACAAAAAATATACAGATACTGTATAGTTTTACAATAAGCAAAATTTGTTGCTGAAAAGCAATTCTTGAAAAGTAATTTGTCATTTTTTCTTTGCAGCAGATTTTGGCTCCATGGGCTGGCCTTTTTCTTTGCCTCGCAACTTCATACCTGTTAAAAATTGCAAAATTTCTTAATATATTAATTTTTGAAGAGATTCAATAACAACAAAACTATTGAGACTCTGCCATATATTTCCAAATATAAGCCAAAAGAAGATTTTACTCAAAAAAATTCAATCTAAATTGGAAACCTAAATTTAAAATTGCCTTATAATTACACATATTGTATACTGCCAAAAGTATGAGTAACGCATCATCAAAATACAAAACCATCACCTGAATGGTAGGTAAGTGCCAATTCATTTTCAGCTTCCATTTAAAAAACAGCGGTGATAACATTGTACAGCATGAATATCAATTGGTGCTTCAGTAAAAACATGTCAAATTTTCCTTTGTTCTCAACTGCGGTAAATGTTCTCAGGCAGTTACAAGATTATTTTCTCCAAGTTGCAGTTTTACAAATAAGATACAATTCTTAATTGTTGCTACATATGTAATATAAAATATCTAATAAGGTATTTAATATCTTATTTATATAGATATAGAATACCTACATAATAAAGGGCATACATATTCTGTTAGTTTTAAACTAAAGACAACAATATATATTAGAGAAAAAACAATAACTGAAGAAAATAATATATAAATTTTATCTACAAAGTGGATAGCAATGAAATGAAGGCCAATGATATTTATACAGATTTACCTTAAGCAGATTTCAGAGAATTACTAGAAAATACCAATATAAGGAAATTTGATTCATGTATAACAAAAATATTTTTTCTATTATTTAATCTGCAATAAATATTTTAATGAATTATTTGAAAATTACTTTAATATTTTGAATTCGTATATAAGCCTCTTTCTCCCCAAGCTTCAATCGTACAAAATTTGCTATCTTCTTGGCTTATGGATGACAATATATAATACTTGTAAATTTTTAAGAATACTCCAAAATAGTTAATACTGATACTAATAAAAAAATATGTAGTTTAGATTAAGTAAAATCATCTTTAAGACGACATCCAAACATATGATACAAATGAAATTCCTCCAGAGTATAAGATTGACTTTGATTAGTGATTTATTACATTTCTTTCATAGAATCAGTAGGCAATTTTCCCTACAAAATTGTAACATATATGTATAGTCAATCTCAATTTTTTAAATATAAGTTACTTTCATTTTATATTATATAAGTTATTTGCAAGCATTTTTTCTGAAGTTATTTATTTGAAAGTTTAAGAAAATATTTTCATAATATATTAACAAATAAAACAAGTAATTTAGCATGTAACACTTTTCAAAATTATGAAAACTTTGTTAAAATGTGCAGTATATCTAATATTTATTATCAAGGCTGGAGTCAAATTCTTGAAAAGTTCTTGCTCCTCACAGCTTCTTAAGATTGTATTTTTTTTTTTTTTTTAATCATTTAAAAAAATAATTCTATCTCATTTGCATCAGCTTAGACGACACATTTAAAGAATTTTCAATTTTCGTAACAAAAACAACTAAACATATTGTAAAAAAAGGGGGAAGGAAAGAAAAAAAAAAAAACAGTTGCTAATAAGTCAAGACAGTCAAGTCTGGACAGTCAAGTTCAGGGCTTTCAAGTCAAGTTCAGGGTCATGAATTTTGGGGGTCATAAAAATTTAGGAAAAGCTAAATATTAATATTCAAAATCAGTTTAGCAACATTACATTATATTACACCTAAGAGTTTATAATGACGAAAGAGCATTTATGCCAATTACGACTGGTCACCATGCTCTCACTATCAAGCTTCTCAAAAAGACAATTGTGGTTTTCCCCATGTGTAACATGTATACGAGCCAGTTTTCCTTTACCTTACACATGCACAAAGGATGGGGGGCTGCAGAATTTTTGAGTCCTTTCCATCAGTTATCTTTTTACTGTATTATCTGTTTGTTTTACGAGGAAAAACAGATAAGAACTATCAACATATCTACTTCTGTTTTCCTGAAGGGGGATAATTTTATTTCCTCATTTATTACTTGTGTCATCTGCAACAGAGCTGGATTAACCATTACGCAAAATAAGCACCTGCTTAGGGCACCAAGGAAAAGAGACACAAAAAGGTCCTTAGAAACTCAGGAAAGGAAACACTACAAAAATCACCAATTGTGGATTTTACCATGGAATAAACAGATCAGGGAAACCACAACCGAGAGAGAAGAAATTGGGAGAGTAAGTATACATTTGGCACAGGGCACTAAAACCCATTAGGGTCTCAAAGTCTCAACATGGTCCTGTTTTCAATAACATTATCAATGTTTTTTGATGAAATTCTGATGGGCACTGTTATTCTAGAAAATATTAAAATTTATTAGCTTAAAACTTTTTAAAAAAAATTTCTATACTGCATAAGTAATTAACAGAAAACTAATTAAGTCATACATTTTATTTTTAATATTCTGCAGTTTTGAAACCAAATAATAACCTTTTATTGGCAGACTCACCGGGTCAGGTTGTTGCATATACATATGGCATCAAAATCATACTTTAACTGTTCTCCAGTTGATCAGAGAGACAGCATTTATAGGTCAAAAAACCAAAACACAACTGGAAATGTATATTTTTACAACAGAACACTTTTTTAAGAGTTTTTTGGGCTAAAATTGTTTTTTAATACTACATGGTAATTTTACTAAAATTCTCAGATACTTTTAGCTTTTAAGTTTGTCACATTCATTTCTAAAATTCCTAATTATAATATATCAAAAATTTCATAGATTCTAGTATATTCTTTTCTATCACAGCTATGACATTCGTTGCCAGTTATTTTTCAATTTTATTATTATGCGACAAACAACAGGTTTATATTACAGAACTTCACGTTTCTCTCGGGAACGAACAGCAATGTACGCTGCGAGGGCTGATGAAAGTGATCAAGTTAAGGAAGCTTAATTAAGATAACCCCCTTTGCAGTATATCCATTACCGATCTGGTAAGAGAGACACGTTTTTGTGTGAGAAATGGCGAGCAAGTAAGACGCATCACATGTCGGGAAAGCTGTTGTCTTTTCCCTTCTGTAATAATGCTGTAATGTTACTTTTAATTAACCAAATAAATTTTAAAAAAGAAAATCAGTCTTAGATTTTTACATCACAAAAGTTTGGCAACGGTTCAGTCTCTTATTTTAAACTTTTCAGGAAGTAATCATCGAAAAATACTGTTTTATCATCCTCTGGATGTGTGCACAAGAAAAAAAGACATTTATGTTAGATGAAGTTTTCACAAATGACAGCTCACAATGGAATAGAGAATTTTCACAAATGGTAGTTCACAATAGTGTCTGTAAAGACAGTGCTGGGGGCAAAGATAGGTGAAAATATTGCCAATGGACATGTAACTTTCACTCACTGCATGATTCACCAAGAATTACTGGTAGCCATAAAAACATCACTAGATGTAAATGATGTGTTTTGTTATGCTACCAAAATCAATAGTTTCACAAAAAGTCAAGCCATTAATAATTTACCTATTTTCAAACCCCTGCAGTAACATGAATTCTGACTGCAAACATTATAACTAGCTACATGTAGAAGTATGGTGGTTCTGAAGAGGTCAAAGTTTATTTAGATTACTAGAGTTGAAGAGGAATGATGCAGCGTTCAATCTAATGGTTTTAATGAGTTTAATTAATTAAACTTATTTCTTAGATGACAAAACTAAAATGTCATTTTTAAATATAAAAATAAAAACAAATAAATAAATGAAAATGATTCCAGTAATTTAAGAGCCCGCGAAGATTTTAATTCCATTAAATTAAAATGTCAACAGCTTTCATATTTGAACATGTTACAAAATGGTTAGAAAAAGGAAATGATTAAAAGAAACAATTTTAGCGGCACCATTTAAAAAATAAGTAACTACAAGCATTGGACTGCATAATGCATCATTACCAGATGAAGTTGTATTTTTAAACATGCAGGAATCCAGTTTTGTTGATCACAATGAATTATTGCTTTCAAAACTGTATTATTCATCAGATATTTTTCAAAGTAATTGTGACATTAAAATTGAAAAGAATGTTTAGTTAAAAACATAAATATATGCAAAAATAAAGAGGAAAACAAATCTTAAGAAACGTTTACATACTTCTAAAACTGAAAATATTCCTTAAGAGTTATAACTCATCACCTGAAACTTTTGGAGACAAAAAAATACTTTCCTTCAAATTTTGATATTATCCCTAGAATGCTACCCATTCATCTCCTAGATGAAGCCCATAACAAATAATCTTGCCCTGTCTTCCCTCAAACGGGAAATGGGATGTGTGACTCAGTACCTTTACATGACTTTGGCTACTACAGATAAAGACATTCCTTCTTACCGAAATATTTTGGAACAATATTTGCCTCACAGACAAATGTAATATTTGCTTTTCAGAATCCAGCTTAGGTTTATTTGTATGTTGCCTTAAAGATGTCATCCGGGAGCGATGAGGAAAATTCTGTTTCAGGGGATGAAAGATGATTTTGCTGAAAACCCTGAATTCTCAGACAGTGACAAAGATGAAAATGAGGAACTATCATTTCACAATAAAGATAAAGAACAATGCTTGAAAAATAAAGCCAGGATGATGAAAATAATAAAATTGAAATAAAGCTAAAAATTCCAAAATTTTTTAGTCATGACAAATCTATTATTTATCCCAGCAAAATTCAGCTCAATAGTGATATGTCAAAGTAGTCATCTGTTCTTAAATCAAGCAACCCCAAAACAGCGTCTTGCAATATTAGTAAATTTATTAAAAAACTTGGGCTGAGCCACATAAGTGATTGTAGACACACTGGATCAGATGTGCAACTGTAACGTCATGTAGTAGAAAACTCATCCATGGTCTCTTTGTGCGTTTTATGCATGATAAATAACAGTTTAATAAATGCATATGTTATATATGTGCATAGTATGGATCGAAAATCCAAAAAGGCATTATCAAGAAAAAGTTCACAATAATGTTAAGATACTCTTGCTCTATGAATGAAGAAGCATTACAACATACTAACTTTGCCTCAGTCAACAAGATCAATTTATAAGGGAACTGCTGAAATTAGATCTGAATATTCTCCTCCTGAACAATCTGACAGTAAAAACGCAAAAATATGTGTATTTTGCCCGTACAATTTGCGCAGAATGACATGCAAGTTTTGTCAAACATGTTTCAGAGCAATGTGCAGAGACCACCATGTGTAAAGATTACTTTCAGAATAAATGACACTTTCTTGCTAACTTGAAGTTCAAGAGTCATGAAATCATCTGCAGGTAGTATACTTTTATTTTAATTAGTTTTTAAAATAGGTTTAAACATGCTTACACTAACTTCCTCTTGCAGAAGAATGGTTACCATTTCTGTAAATTTTTCAAATAACATACTAGGGTTAAAAAAGAAAACTGGGTGAATAAACCACACATATTTGAAATAACTAGTGTCAGTCATGTAAGATCTAACTCTCCAAGAAGACTGCTGTGTTATCAACAGGGTTCATACACATTTCTGCACATGGAAATTTCCTTATTTACTTTTCAGCTTCAAAATACTATATAATAAGTCGCCAAAATGGAAAGTAATGCCACTTTATAATAGGACAGCAAAAAATGATATTTGTCAGTGAATTGTCAAAAATATTCCTCCATAACGATAATTCACATTCAAAACAGCAGTCATAAGACAGAAATTTCAGATGATTAAAATTAAGGACTTTTAAGGACCGTATGAGCCTGTATCGAGCAACCTTAATTTAAAACTTAAATTTTTATAACAAATACTCAATTGATTTTGGCTGGAGATATAGACTGAATTTTCAACACCTTCTGAAATGGCCTTCAACAAACTTCTAGTATTTCGTACTAAACAACTACACGAAGTGTATACCAAAGAATATAGTTATGTAATTAATTTTCAGAATAAAGTTACGTAATGCTTTATCATCAGTGAATGTTTCAATTCATATTTTTCATTTATATACCCCTACAGAAAATGTCGTGAAAATATTTGCATGAATAAAAGGGGTAGCTTAACAGAGAAGTTTGAGAAGCCCTGGTCCAGTCTGTACCAGATTGTCAATCTGATTATCACTTACAAGTGGTTAAAACCTGCAGTTCATTCATTATTTGCAAACTATTAAATTTTAACAAAGCTGAATTATCTAAATATCATTACAGATCAATAATGTGTTGCTTGATTAAATAAAATTTTTATTGCTATTTATATTGGCATTCAGAAGGTATTCAAACACACAATGCAAATACATTTCTAAAGTATTAATCAGTGTATGCTAAATTATTAACAAACACCACACACAAATGCAAGCAGAAGGTTTGAAAAGACAGAAAAAATTGAAGTAGGATCTGGAAAATAACACAAAAAATATATAACCAACCTATGACCCTCTCTATTTTTGTGAGAATTTGTTGATTAGGCACAGCTCTTCCTGCTTCATAATCATTTATAACCTGAGGCTTTTCATTAATCCTCTAAAGAATTAAAGATAATTTTATTACTTTATAATATATTGCCAAGGTTACATAAGATATTTCAAAGTTATTAAAAAACTTGCAATTAAATACACAACTAAATTCTTCATTGCAAACACAAATTTCCACATCACATGGCAAAGAGGCATCAATATCATTTGCAGATACTACAGATTCTTCATTGTCATTCTCTCAAACTTAGTTACAATGTTACTTTCCAGCTTTGATGTTACATGACTACCATTCACAAATCTGGCTAAAAGCAGACTCGATGTTATTACCCACTTTCGGCTTGCATAATCCACAAATCACGGAGCATCCTTGTTGATAAATAACATGCAATAATAGTATACAGAAAGTATAAATATATTTTACAAAATTTTTAATTTACCTTACAATAAACTAAATAGGTCGAGAAATATTGCAATATCAGATCTTATGGTGCTTCTCAGCAAATAATTCTAACTGTTTGTTTTAGATTATGATGAATTGTTGAATTAAAATGGCTTGTTCTCTGGCACTGGATAATCAAAATAGAAGCAAGATATTCAAAAGAACTGCTGTTAGCATCAATACATTTCGGCCAAGTTGTTTTAAGCCTTATTTCATACCAATGGTCAAAATTTTTAAAAAGCAAATCACATCTTCAATGCATTACTATAAAAATTTAAATTTTAACATTCATTTGAACAGAGAATATTTGAAATGTCGTACGTAAAATTCTAATACAAGGTCACAAGTGTAAGCAAAGTGTTCCACAACATAAAATGTTGATTTTCAGCATCAATTTTCACATGGCACATCCTCAAATGTTCCCTTGAGAAACCATACAGAAAATTGCATATTATTTATTTTAAAAGTAATTACATTTACAAGAATTTTTTGGCTAATTTTTAGAATGGAAAAATACACAGATGATAATATGCCTTTGTTTCTTGGTTAGCTAATGCAAGGCCTGTATGAAACCATGTGTCATTATCAGCACACAACACTTACTTTCTCCACTTCATTTGAAACTGTAGTTCCAAGACTTCATTCATGTGCTTTCCATGAAGTAAAATCAGCTGAACATAAGTGAGGGGAAAAAAACAGAGGACTCAACTATTAGTCTCAGCCACTGTTACCATGGTTACAAATTCAAATCAATTGAAAAAATTCACTTCTATTACACATATATTTTACATTCTAATTAAATATTTATCTCTAAAATTAATAAGCCAGCATACTTACAAGCTGGTCTTTATTTCTTTTGTTCTTGTGGAAATTTTGTGGCAATCACTTAATCAAGATTCAAAATAATTGTTCCTTTTAGCAATTTTGCAGCAAAATACTGTATTCATGCAGGACTTTTAAGTTTCCTTCTTTGCTGGCAAATATTATGAGCACATATTTTAAAATTGACAACATTCATCTTGATTTGCAAGATTGAAGAAGCAATCCTGCAATTTTGCATGGATTCGATACATAATGATTCGTAGGAAAAACTGCAGGAACTTTGTACTTAACAAAAAGAACACATATGAAAATTGGAGCATTGCTCAAATGAAGAACTGTTACGAAATGATTCCCTAAAGAATTTTTATGCATTTGCTAGCCAGAATCTGATACATTCTGAAAATTTGACCACTTCTACCAAGAAACCCACTTTAGCACTAATACTTAATATATACCTAAATAGATAAAATATGAAAAAACTATTAATTTTAATTTAGCAATAGTCTTTTAAATTTGGCTACAACCTCTTCCTAGTGCATTGACTAGGAAACTAATCTGCATTATGCCATCTTATTAATCCTTCAATGCAGTAAGCTCTTGTCAAATTGGACAGATGATACACTTTAGATGCCCTGGATAAGAGCCTACTTATTACAGGATTAATAAGATAGCATAATGCTGGTTAGTTTTCCAGATGATATAGAAAGATGATGCAGCCAAATTAAAAGAACTATTGCTAAATTTAAATTAATAGTTTCCTTTTATTGCTAAATTGAGTAGTTTTTTCATATTTTTTACATTACCAATTCTACAATTAAAGAACAAATTTTTGCTATGTTAAATGTGCTGTTGCATTGCTCCATTCTCCACATCATCCATACAATATGAAAAACTGTAGGGTGTAAAACAAAATATGTGTCTTCAGAATTAAAATCAAAGAAATAAAACTGAGTCTGAATCAAGAAATAAAACTGTGGCGTGCCACACTATAAGTCATTTATGCCAACACTTTCTCCATTACTATAAGTCATCTTATGTACCTATGTTATCTCCTAATCCTGAAGTACATGTTAAGATATAAATATGAAAGAAAAATACTAATTTTAATTCCTCATTTCAATTTGGTTACATCCCCTCCCTGGAATCTTAACTGTATTCAGTGGGAAAAACTAATATGCATTATACCATCTTTTTAATCTTGCAATGCAGTGAGCTCTTGAACAGTTACAATCCAAAATTTAAACAAAAAAGAAACTCTATAAATACCCCTTACTGAAATGTAAACTTACTTTGCCAGCTTTCCTCTTGCTCTGCTAATATGCGATGCTTACTTCTCCACTTCGGCCATTGTCTAATGTTGTGATCCATAATATAAAGTCCTAAAAAATTATTAATGGCGAAATAAAATGTGGTGAATCTACAGCTATGTTTGGTCTCCAAGCACCATCCTTCTATTATGCATCCTGTTTGTATGTCAGCAATATCCATAACCATATAGATATTGCTGATTAAAAAATAACTGGTGTACTTTCTCCCATACATCCTAAAATATTACTACAATAAAAATAGCTGGCAGATTCTTTCAACGTGCTAAAAAATGAGTCCACGGAAAGTCAATAAAAATAGTTGGCAGATTCTTTCAATATCCTAAAAAATGTGTCCATGAAAAGTATCTCCAAGTTCAAAAGTCTAACAACTAAAGTACAATCTGGCTTTTACAGCTGCGACTCAGCAAGAGAAAAAAAAAAATTTCTTTTAAAATAAGAAGTGATTTGGAATCAGCTCAAGATCACCCACTGACGAATGAAAAGTTTGGGGCAGAAAAAAATTATTTGCTTTGAATTTCCAACATGTTTATGCCATTGCATTCTTTGGCTTAAAAGTTAAATATCATCGAATGTATCAATTCCTACTCCCATCCCCATCAAAAAATTAAAGTTGTGCATCCTTGAAACCAATGTGACCTCATTACATTTGGCTTTCAAAATCAGTGTTTTTTAAGAAGTTAGAGTGTAATTACCTGGTTTTAAATAATGTGAGTAATTTTAATGCTGATGAAACTGTAAATGCAGACAAAGTTGCAAATCATAAAAATGTCCCACGAAAAATCGAAGTTAAGTCTTTAGACAAAGATAAATTGATCTGTCCGCTATTTGATCTCACTGTTGATATAGTTTGTTTTTTGAAGAACAATGTCGTGCAAAAGATATTCCTAACTATATTTTTAGTTTTTTAAATAGTGAAGCCTTGTCATTTTATATCTACGAATCTGTTGAAATTCAGGATCGGGATGTGCTAAACACAAAAATTTTTCATTTATTTTCTAGTTCAGAATATTACATTTGATGATTTTGTTTCAGTTACGTACAACATATTTAAAAGATACAGGTCTTGAACAGTGGAAATTTGTAACTGAACAAGAAACAATGTCTGTCTATAGAATTGAACAGAAAGTATTGGGGGGGGGGATTACATTCAAAGAAATGTTTAATAAACAAATAAATATTAAGTTTTTTTTTTTTTTTTTGGTGTGTGGTGTGTGTGTGTGTGTAAATTTTGATACACTTTAGATCATAAATGCTTCATTATTTCATAAATCACGATTTCATATTTTTAACTTCATAATTTCCACATGCCATCTTACTAGATTTACCCTGATGATCTAATATCTGAAAAAAATCACAAATCCGGAATCGCCGGAGTTCTGACGAGTCCTGATCTCTGTAATGTATTTTTTTTTCATATAAAACATGTTAATGCAGAAAAAATATGCAAACTACAAATGGTCCATTTTCAATTTTTGCTTACATATGCTGTCCCAGAAGAAGAGAAAGAAAATTCAAGATAAATTAATATTTAAAGTTTAATTTGAGCAATGCATTGCATAAAGATGACTACAAATACATTTCTACAATTTAAAATATAAAAAAATCAATTAAAATTTTTAGATATAAATCTTAAAAAATATGAACAAAGGTGCCTGTCCCTTCCAAGTTTTATGTTATTCGAACTCTTTGTTTTGTAACCTAATTTATTTTTTTTGATTAAGAAGTTTAATTATTTTAAATATGAATTATTAATGTATTTACATTCATGATAAAAATTAATTATAGAAGTTTTTCCTTTAGCAAATCAATAAAGATAATTTATCTCCCACTTCATGTCAAGTCTTAACCTTGAGTTTATTTTACCCACAATTAGTTTGTAAATCTGGATACAGGGGGATACATATTCAGTGACATAGATAAAAGCTCGACTAATTTATCTATGCCACTGAATATGTACTTCCGTTTACTATCCAGCAGAATACAGTTCTGCCAAGTGACCTACGGCTGTCATGGCCAAACCTTTAACATCTTCCCTAGGAAGCCTAAAAGGGATTTTGCTTGAGCAGGAAAACTAACTGTACAAACTACCATGTACTTCACGGGCCTACCCCGGCTATTATTTAACTATTCTCTTCACCGCTGGACCTAATCCAGCCATTTTTCTTGATTCTTACTCCTATACTGCACTGAGGATTCCTACCTGCCTTACCACGACTTCTAAACCAGGTTAACATCATTTATCTACCATCTTAGCTATTCACTTTGCCACTCCAGAGTGAATTTAATTTTAAAATCTAGCTTAACTCACCTTTCTTAACCCTTTGCGGCATGGTGGGTCAATATATGTCCCACCTAATTAATATTTATTTTCTCAGTTAGCAATTTCCGTTAGAAATTTTCTAATCTTTTAAAAATAATCTATTTTAGTTATTATTTTTCTCAGTAGATGTTACTACTATACCAGGGCTTAAGTTTCTAAGCAAAAAATATTCAAAACAGGATCACAAGAGTGATATCCATGTATCTCGCATTTTTCAATATTTTAAAAATTTTGGTATACAATTTATGATATGTATGATTCTTTTTAATATTCAAAGGTATTTTATTTTCAAAAATCTTAATTGGATTCAATATTTTATAACATTAATTTTGCAGTTGAAATAAGTGGGTTAAAAATTTGTCCCACCACACACTTGAATTTCCGCTCAATAGATGGCAGCACTCACGATTATTTTTCTTTTCTTTTTTGCATCTACTTTTTTGCGCGCGCTTTTACATCCGTTGTATGCTCTGATGTGCTAAAATGTCTAGAAAAAAGTTAACAACTCAGGAAGCTTTGGATCTTTTTGCTGAATTGCCATCCGATTGCGACTCAAATGCTTCAGATGTCAGTTCTGATTCAGATGAAATTGAAATCCAGGAGAGAATAACTGAGGTTGAAGTTATTGCTGAAGAAGAAAGGGAAGTAGTTATAATTTGTTTCGCTTTTTAAAGACACAGACCCATCTATGCATGTGGCTGCCATCTATGCATGTGGCACTGTAAATATGAATCGGAAGTATCTACCCAAAAATTTAAAAGACAAATTTATGTCAAGAGAATATATAGACTTTTCAGTTAGCGATGATTCAATTTATTGCATAAAATGGAAGGATAAAAGATCCGTTTCTATCCTGTCTTGCTTGGAAAAGGCAACTGAAATGAAAGAAATTAATAGAAAAGAACGAGATGGAAAGACAAAAAAAAAAAAAAAAAAAGTACTGTGCCCAAACAGCATTATTTCATACAATAAGAATATGGGATATGTCGACTGATTGATCAACTGAAAGGACTATATGAAATAGACCGCAAAAGCAAGAAATGGTGGCACATGATTTTTTTTTTTTTTTTTACTTTTTAGATGCGAGTATAGTAAACACATTTATTCAAGTTTGTTCGCGAACCTGATCATGATGTAAAAACAATGAAAGGTTTTCTTCTCTCAGTTACAGAAGGTCTAATGGCACTTGCAGGCAAGAAAGAGCTGAAAAGAAAACTGAAATCCCCAGTTCAAATAAAACTAAAAACCCGTTCGTACAACCAGAAAAGAGACTAAAAAATGTAAGTCACAACGCCAAAGAGAACGAGCAGGAGAAGATGTGCATATTGCAGCACATCGAAAGAAGAACGACGAACATTTTGGATGTGTGAAACATGTGAAGTGCCTCTATGCTTACAAAAGAATGAAACAACATGTTTTTCAAAGTTTCATGAAAAATGACTTTTTTTCAATTTTAATCATATATAAATGTTTTTGAATCAAGTGCCAATTTTAATATTTTATTTAGTATCATATGTACGAGTATCAAATTTTAATCTTAAAATAATATTCAAGAAAATATTTTCTTTTGTTCCTAAAATTTAAAAATATTAAATATATATATGCAAAATGTGCATATGCAAAATTTTACAAGTCATGCATATATGCAATAAGTACAAAATGCATTTTAGTGTGTTTATTATGAATATTTTAGAATGCACGCTTTATTTTTGTTTATTCATTCCACATATGATTTTTTTTCCCTGCTATACACCAATATGCTATAAGACATGTGCTAGTTGCATGGTGGGACAAACGGTATCCCACCTTCCACCGTAAAAAATAAAGCGCAGAATTTTTTTCAAGCCTTAAAGGCACTTAAGTAAGTCCATCTGACTTATTCTAAGGCATTTTCTTAAAGATTAAAATATATTTTAAATATGCGTGTCGCAAAGGGTTAAGTTTTTATTAGCTAATAATTTTTAACCTTAAATTATTAATTCCATCCTTAATTAATAATTAACTGTTAATCTATAATTTATCTCACATCAACAATCACTTAAATTAAAGCTCACAATCTAATCTATGTTAATTACTCATAAAGTAATTTAATTCAATTCCTTTACCACATTCATTCTTAACTACAAATTCTGCAGATTACAAACTGACAACTCCCCTCTCCTTGCTTTTAACTTCGTTTATCTTCCTCAAGTGAATAACCTGTCCCCCCTCTCAACCATCCCAAGACTCTTAGCTACTTGCTTTGTTACAAACCAAAACTAACTAACGGAAGTCCAGTTCTGTTATGAGTTACACTTTATTCCATCAGCTGTTCTTATCGTTATAAAAATCATTCATGCCAGTTGCGTGCTGGCTGTCTTTTTCTTCTCCTCTTGAGCTATCTGCGTGCGCATCGCAAAAGGGGGCTAATCCCCTTCTATTGTGGCTAACCACAAGAAGTTAACACCTATATCCTAATAAAGTGGACTCCTTATTGGTCTTCTGACTTTAGCCCAGCGGCCTTTCTTTCATTTTTCTTTAGCAGATGCTCATTCTTAATTATTTCATTTTCGATAAACGATGATGTGGAGGTAATTGCATTTATTTGAAAACGAATTCTGTAACAAAACACCTTGGTCTTGAATATGTACTACCCCCTTTAGGCACATTTACAAACTAAATATGGGTAAAATAATCTCAAAGTAATAGACATAAAGAGGAACACCAATTATTTTTATTGATTTGCTATATTCATATCTAAAAAATTTCAATCGATTTTTTATATTTTAAATTGTAGAAATATTTATAGTCATCTTTATGTAACACATTTCTCAAATTAAACTTTAAATATTAATTTACCTTGAATTTTGTTTCTTTTTTTCTGGGACTGCATATCTTAACAAAATTTGAAAAAAAGGCCAAATACATATTTAAGAATACAGCCAAAGTCTTAAACTAACTGAAAAATACGGCAAGTACACCAAAATCAAGGTTCAAATTTTCCTCTCACTTGGTACCATCTAGAGAAGGAAACATATACTTTAAACTGAATTCTTAACAAGCAACATTACCTGACTGAAGGTTTATTATGAGTGTGGTTGCCTGAAGAATGATTAGGAACATGACTGTCAGCAATCTGAGAAATTCTGCAACTTCTGCTAAGGTGGTTGCAATGATACGCAAGTACCACATAAAGGAAAGATGCAAATCACAGTTTTTTAACTGTTAGTTGAACTCAAATAAAATGTCATAACACATAAAGAACTTCAGCAACATATGAAAATAGTATGGGTTAACATATCCTAGCTGAATGGAAGATCCCAATAAAATTGTCAAAAATCAATAAACATTCACTGTATATAGAGAAAGCATGTTCGAAGAATTTTATTTAAACAATGGCTTTTAAGTGCCATGAAACAGCAGAGTATATTTTGGTCAACAGTTCCTACCAGTGGTACTCACAGCACTTTTGCAAAATATGTATTTGGAGTCTTTATTTGTAGAAATTTCTGAAGTTGAAAGTATAAGGACTGAAAGTACAATTTCAAAGTTATTCTTGCAGCAATTACAAAATTATGGCTGCTAAAAATTTCTTGAGTTTAGATTAAGGCTGTTTTGGCAAACTGGATGTTCAAAACATCCACAAGTACCATTGATCTTTTTATTGACATAAAAATAAAGTGTGATTCTGAGATATTCTCAGGACTGGACATTTTAAATAAGCTTACCGTTGCAAGATCTTTCTGAGTCAAGCCTTTGTTCTGCCTCCCTTGCTGAATGAGACGACCTACATCCAGTCCAACAGTTTCATGGTGAAGTTGCTCCGTTTCTTTATCAAGCTTGGAAGTATTTAGAGTTGTTTGGTGCTGTTTATTCGTAGCAGCATTAACTAAATAAAATAACAAGAAAAAATTAGACCATCTGTGAAAGTACTATTATATAGTTATTTCAATAAAAAATATCAGCATCATATAGGGTGAATCTAAAATATGTGGCAAAAAAGGGCAGATAAAGGGGACCCAAAGAAGCAGGTTTTACAATGGAATTTGAGTGCCGAAATGGCATGTGTTAAGTTTTGCTACATAAGGAAACAATGAATAGGAATTAATTTAGAAAGACAAATAAAATTAAACATTTCAGTCAGCTTTTCAACAGGTGCTCAAAAGTGTGACTACCAACAGTAATATAAAATTTATTCTCACACAACTCCAAGTTGTTTGAACTCCAAGTTCTCCAAATCACACTTGGATGTTTGGCAACTCGGATTCTAACTACTCAGAAATTGTTCTCTGAACATCCTTTGAGTTGCTGCTCCATTTCTGTCTGCAGCCCCACAGATAAAATGCATTTTCATCTGCTTGAAATCTGCACTGAGAATGATAATTTAACCCAGCAGAGCACTTTCACCTACTGATCTCAAGAGCATCCTTTACTTCTTCATGCATCATTTGCAAACCCACAATTCATTATAAAATGTTTATTTCAGTCTCCTCTGCTCTTACATTTTATTTTCTTTTACATTCATTACATTACATTTCATATACAGTCAAAAGTCGTTAATTCGGACACCCATAATCCGGAATGATCTATAATCCGGACCTCAAAGCTAAAATCTTTCTGCGCATGCGCCGCATTGACGCATGCGCATAGGCGTTTTACTCGTGCACCCAAGACATTTACGACTGCGCATATGCGTCTGCGCAAGTGCAGAATACGTTTTCGCGTGCGTGTTTAATGTATAACGGACGATATAAGCTAAAATTATCTAATTATCTATTTCAGTTAATGTTGATGATTGCGTTGTTCCTTAATCTTCGAATTTGATCGGGCTTATTATTTTTTGCAGACTGTAAGAGCAATTTTCTAAAAGTAAGCTTGAACTTTCGATTATGTCAAATAAGAATTTCCGATTCTGGAGCTCCCAAAGGATCTACAAAGCGAAAGTATGTTTCGATGTGCATCAAACAAAAAGTGGAATTGCTACATAAAATGGATAAAGGCATATTCCTTTGTTTCCTCTAACCGTTCCGAAATCTTGTTTATCAATTTCACGCTGCTCTGCCGGGGAGAGGGGGGAAGACGTCGCGGCGTGCAATGAACTGGAAGTTGATCTTGTCACCACTATCGTTATCTTCAGAGCAGATGATTTTATTTTATTTGGCTTATAATTCCTTACTTACATGTAGTATTTAATTTCGATGTACTCCGTCTTTGATATGATTTAAATCAAATTCCTCGTCATTATAAATACCACGAATGCAAATCAAATAGGTTTTTTCTGGTTGCAATTTCTAATTTCGGCTATGCGTAAGGTATGCTTTATGCAACCTCGCGTTGAAAGAAATGTTTAATAAAGTAAACAAATAAATATTGGGCTTCTTTTTCGGTAAATTTTGATACCCTTTAGATCATAATTGCTCATTATTTTATAAATTACAGTTTCATATTTTTAATTTTATAATTTCTGCATGCCATCTTACCAGATTTAAACTGATGATCTATAATCCGGAAAAATCGATAATCCGGAATCGCCGAAGTCCCGACGAATCCGGATTAAAGACTTTTGACTGTATTTAAAAATAATTCTGTATATGATTCATATTAAATACTGCATGTACTTCTCAACTGATCTAAAAGATGAAAGAAAAACCCCAAAACATGGATATAACAGAATTAGTTAAATGTTAAATATGAAAATTATTTCCATAAGAATGGATATTTCTTCAAAAACTTTTCTGCTGGGAAATGATATTAACATTTTTGAACTAGAGCTCTGACACTTTCAAATTACTAAAAAAAAAAAAATTTTAAAAGCTCAAATTTCTCGTATCCTACACTCAGTTCCCACTTTCAAGAAACTGCTTCCTATCTGTAACAATGTTCTTAAGAACATGGATTCATTTCTTAAGACGCGAATTTTCTAACAATAAAAATGACGAAAATCAATCCTTCAGGGTAAGCTCTTTGATGCAGATAAACGTCTCAGTCTCCAGAAAATACTCTCAAGGCTTGATAGTAATTTTGGTCAGCAGTCTACAAAAGATGAATGGCTAATACACAATACATCCTTTTTTAAAATACAACTACTATTGTCTCTGTATTAATCATTATTTCAAGGGCTAATATTATGCACAGGAAAAACAAATATACTCAATTAAAAAAAAACCTAATTTAAAGAAATAACAGCTGAATTTTATAAGTGCATATCTGCATATACATCAGCAAACATGTGCTTCTCACAGACCTGGACGGTTATTCTACGCTACGAGAGTCGACAGCAAGTTGTGGGCCGCCAGATGTCGCTGCTAGTAAAAAACAGGTCTGCCCGACATCCTATATTCTCTGAGTACGGAAGTTGTCGAAAGCACGTGAAAAAATGTTGCCGTGTCATCAATCAGGGTTGTCCAGTTGACGTACTAAGTAGACAATGACTTTGTATGCATTTTCGCCGCTGATTTTTTCATATTTAAACGAAGAATACGGTCGTAGATCTCTGAATCGGTGGCGAATTTATAGAAAATATGTTGATGCTTTTGCTCTGTCAAAAGATGTTTTCATTGCGTATTTCAGATTCGTAAAATTTATAGTTATTTTAATTTGGGGTGAACTGAGAGAGTATTTGGAGCCACATTCAGAAAACAAGAACGCAATTTCTACTAAAAGAAAGGTTATACTATTCCTGAAATTATAGATATAAATTGTAATTGTACGCTTTAAAAATGTAGAAGATAATAAGTTTATCAAGCACATAAACCTTCTTCATTTAATACAAATATAGACATCTGATAAGCTTGTACTCGATTTATGTACAGCAAGAATTACGTTTACTTTAAAATCTAACAGTTGAATACCTTACGAATAATACTGTGAACACAAAAATGTCGTTCATTATTACGCGAAATTCACACTACTGTAAAATAAAAATTAAAAAAATAATAATATAATAATTATAAACTATAAAATAGATTTATAATATTTTTTTCAGTAATTGTACTACTATTATGTGATACTTTTAAAAATAAGTTTTAGCCCAGAGGGGCTATTAATTTCGTTTTGGCCATTTTGTGGCGTTTCACGATAAATGGCGTTTCACTTTTCAAATCGTTGCCACCAAGTATTATTGCACTCTATTATATTTAAAGAAATTAAATAATGAGGAATCTGCAGAATGCATGAATGTTTCTCGCACTGTGATAAAACAACGGTACTAGAGCCATGAAATTCTGAATAACATAATCCTCCATCCTAATAGAGGCATCTGGAGGCCAAATTTTAAAACTGGGAATTTGTATTACTATCCATTCATATATCATATTTTTAAAAGCATTTATGAGTTTTTGATTAAGAAACCCAACGATTTCAAGCGAGCAATGGCAAAAACATTTCATCTCTAGCGCGCGAGACTATGTATCGGAAATTCTAAAGATATGCTTTTTTTTTAATTACATGATATTGCTGTTGAATTGATTTTATGGTTTAAGTGCGAAAAACATGATATTTAATAAATAAAGGTAACACGCAAAACGTTAAAAAAATTACCCTTTGGGAGTAATATAAAATCTGAAGGCTTTCATTTTTTTTTTTTTTTTTGGTGTGTGTGTGTGTGTGTGTAATTTTAATACGTTTTAAAACTGGTTTTTAAGTGAGGACTTTCTAAGGGAAACTGGCTCGTATACACGTTACACATGGGGAAAGCCACGAAAACGCCGGCCAGCTCGTTCGTGGGATTCGAACCTCGGACCAAATTACCTGCGTTCAGCAACTCTACCGCTCGGCGACTGGTGGGCTTGTTAGCAGAATTATACTGTATTATTATTGTATTATGCTATAAAGTAACAATGCTATAAGACTGAGGGTTTGTTCATGGAATAGTACTTTTGTAACCTATTATAGTATTAAAAAATCATTGTTTCTTTGCAAACTTAAAAAAATAAATAAATAAATAATAAAAATACTGTTCATAGCATTCTTATTTTTATATTAAAAGAGATATTGATTATTATTCGTTTTCTATTTAAAATGTGTCGAAACGCTGGTTGAAAAGGAACTTGAACTGCAGGAGACCTACACTGATTATTTTTACTTTAGTCTTCCATTGTGAAAATATTACTATCTTTTAATTATTTTCACAGAACAAAATCTTTTGAGAAGGAAGAATAATTAAACTGAGCAGTTCTTATATATATACAAATTAAAATAACAGCAAGTAATATTGAAAAAAAGATATTAGTAATTGTGTGACAAAAATTGCAAAACGAATTAATCACACATACAGGATAGATTAATTTAATTTGGTTATATATTTTATATTGAAAAAATACTTTCTTTCATGTTAATTATAGAATAAATTATTTAAAATAAAGCATTTTGATGTGTGTCTGATAACTGAATGCAGCAGCAATCGGCCATACTGTAATAGAGAATGAATTTTATTTTTTTTCCTGAAAGAAATAATTTTCATAGAAAAAGAAAATAAAAAAGGGAAGAAATATTAAGAAAGAAATATTTTCTTTCTAATTTCTTATTTAAAGAAATATTTTTCAAATAGTAACTGTAAAATAAATTGCGGGAAAACAGTTTTAATGTAAACATGGAAAAAAAAAAAAAAAAAACTTAGTTTGCTATTAGATTGTAATGCAAATTAATCATATTATAAATTTAAATAATTAAAATGGTTTATTTCTAAAAGGATTTGAAGAAAGCTTAATTCATTTACTCTTATTTACCATTGCTTTCGTGGTATCCCATATCACTCTTTATTTTTTAGCTCTAAATTCCTGCGTTGACTTTCCCATTAAAAAACGAGATTTTCTTTCACATAACACAGCAGCATATTCAGCATGTATTGGTCATAATACTGTTTTGTGCAATTTTTTCGAACTACAAATG